AAAATAAAATAAATAAATAAATAAATAAATAAAATAATGAATCAACTGCTAGAAGAATGAATAAATCTGTCTTAGAGGAAGTACAGCCAGAATGTTCCTCAGAAGAGAGAATAGCCAGACTTTTTCTCTCATACTTTGGTCATGTTGTCAGAAGGGACCAATCCCTGGAGAAGGATGTCATGCTTGGTAAAATAGAGGGTCAGTGGGAAAGGGGAAGACTCTCAATGAGATGGATTGACACAGTGGCTGCAACAATGGGCCCAAGCATGGCAATGATAATGAGGATGGCATAGGACTGGGCAGTGTTTCATTCTGTTGTACACAAGGTTGCTATGAGTAGGAACTGACTTGATGGCACCTACCAACAACAACATGAAGCTTGAAGTAGAAAGTTGAACATAAGCTCCAAAAGGGTGGGAGCTTTGTCTCTTTTATTCACTGCAATAATCCCCAGGAGTACTGGGGTAGCACAAATGGTTAATGCACCTGGCTGCTAACTGAAAGGATCAAGGTTTAATTTTACCCAGAAGCATCTTGGGAGAAAGGCCTGGTGATCTACTTCCGGAAAAATCAGACACTGAAATCCCTATGGAGAAGAGTTCTACTCTGACACACATGGGGTTGCCGCGAATCAATTCTGACTCAATGGTATTTTTTCTTTTTTAAAATAATTCCAAGAGCCTAAAACAGTTCCTTCCAATATTTTGCCCAAATAAATGGACAAATGATGGATTTTGCTGCTTAGAGTAGTTGGGACATCCTACTTGACTGTTTTGTGAAAGAATAAGCGAAGGCCCTGAAAAAAGAAGTGGCTTGTCCATACTTCCTTTGTCCTTGAGAGGTCTGCATTCAAGTGGTAGAGAAAAGAAAAAAAAAAAAAAAAAAAACCCACAGATGGTCAGAAAGAAAAAAGCACTTACAAAGAAAAATGCTAGCAAGTATATATCAAGAAAGCAAAGTCTTACGGATAATTCATAGTTGAAAGGGGTACACAGTTGCCCTTGGATCCTGTCCTGGTCTTTAGCTTTAGGATGAGCTTGGAAGCCTCACATTATAGATCAACCTCCCCTCATGTGAAGGGTTGTGACAGAGGACACAGAAATATGACATGGTGTGGCTCCTGGACAGGCAAAGCTGGGCCCATAGGAGCTAGAAATATGCAGAGGGTAGGGAAAGGTGGTGGTGAGAATGGAGGAAGAAAGTGGTTGAGGCTCAATTTAAACTAAGCCTTCCCTGACACTCCATTTTGTTCCCCACCCATCCAATCTCTATCACTTACAGTACTTATCTCAATCATAATGACACAGTTAGCAGTGCTATCTGCTTTTCCTTTTTCCCCTTCTCCATGAGGGCAGGGAATGAGCCTGTGTTGTTCACTTCTGCACTCCCAGTAACTAGCCTGGAACCAGATCCTTGGATAAAAAGTGCTCAAGTCGATTTATGCTTGGAGAAGGTGAGTTCTGAGTTAGAGTTTGAAATGAGAACAGGGGTCAGAGATGGAAGATGGGCAGAGAAGAAAGGGGAGCAGGAGTCAAGGCTGAGTGTCCTTAGGAGGGTCACTAGCTCACCTCTACACTGCTCAGCCACTGCCGGACTGACAGGAAAGACTGCTTGGCTGTGAGGTCATACATGACGATGACACCATCGGCCTTCCTGAAAAACTGCTGGGTGATGCACCGATACCTGCCACAGAGGGGTCACAGGTCAGTGGATGCACACCCCTGTGTAGGGGGATGGGGGAAAGCAGGAGTGCATTAGGGAGTTGGGAGGCAGTGAACTCCTCACCTTTCCTGTCCAGCTGTGTCCCACAGCTGCAGGGCCACCTGAGAGTCGTCCACATTCACCATCTTCACTCGGTAATCAATTCCTGCAAGGTAGATTGGGGCTGTCAGGGCTCCCCAAGTCAGAGACTTCTTCATCTCCAGATCAGGAGAGAATGCCTCCAATGTGTCTGGAATCATCTCAGGCTGAGGGAATGGGTCCAGCTCAGGAGGCAATGTGGGGTAATGGACAGAGCACTGAACAGGGAGGCAGGAGACCTGTTTTCAGGTTCTGTCTCTGCCAGTTATTAGCTGTAAGACCTGATCAAATCACCTAATCTCTCTTAGGCACCCTTTCCTCACTTGGTATAACCCTTACCCTTCTACCTTACTGGATACCATAATAAGGACCAATGAGATCAGTATATGAAAGCAACATACCAATGCAAAGACAGTTGTTATTACTCATCAATTTATTCTCTCATTGGGAAGATGGAGGAGGGACTATTCCCAAATTATTATTATTTTTTTTGTCCTAAAAACATTTCCAAAGTTCCTTCAATAAACTCAAATACTTCTGGAGGGTAGGTTATAATTTAAGATCTCTTCAGCCACTTTGAAGGAACCCAAGTTTACGTGGGAGGAGGAGGGGAGGGGTTGGCGAGTAGAGAGAGGGGCAGAAGAAAAGGGGAGGGAACAAAGGCGTCATTCACCTTCCTGATATGGGTTTCTTTTGAGCTCCTAATTGCAGCCATTCACAATCAGGGGTCATCAATCCCAGAAAGAAGGAATAATGTCTATGAAATACATTCTGCATCCCAAAGCAGCCCTCAAAGATAAGGACCTTAGTGAAGAATCTTTGATGCACACATTTCTCTCTCCTACATCCTATACGGAGCCTCACAAATATTTAAAGATGCTTAGAAAGTTTTTCCCCCTTAAGGTACCAGATCTCAGAACTTGGGGGTATCCTTTCCCACCTTCAGAAAGGCACAGCTTCTAAAATTCTTACCCAGGGAAGGCTTGGGAAGGGAGACGGCAACAGCAGCGTGGACAAGCAGAGACAGAAGAGACAAAACACATCACAAGGCAGCAGTAAATGGAAAAGGTCACACAGGCATTGTCTCTGGTCAAAGGCTAGTGCATTATGGGCTGGTGAGTGGTGGCGAAGTGGAGGTTTCTACTCCAGAAATGTCAAGACCAGCAGGAACTCTAGATGCCCTTTGGTTTACAGATAAAGGCAAGAGGGAATGCATTTGTCCGGGTAGAGAAAAAGAGTGACTGCTCCTATTGGTAGATAGAATGCTTTAATTTTCACTGTTTTCATATGCCATCTCTCCATCCTCATGGTACTATCCCAGCATACACACACACACACACACACACACACGGTGAGATAAAGAAATAGAAATCCAGAGAGGTTGTGCCTGGCCCACAATAGTCAGCAGCTGTGAAGAGACACAAACCCAGCACTGAGGCCATTACTTCAGCACTGCACAAGCCACAGGGACACTCGGCAGCTTCCTTTAGCCCAGGGCTAATGGTCCCATCCAAATAGATCACATATAGCTAATAGCTGAATCCAGCTAGGTGTGTTCTTCTTGGCTTTCCTGGCTGGTGCTCAGGGAGAATGAAGAGACTGCTTGCTTTGTGATAACAACTCAGAGGAAAGCCAACCACTGCCAACACACCTTCAAGTTTACCGAAACTGGAACCAGCAAGCTGGTCCAAACAAAGCCCCTGGGGGGTAGAGCTCCTTCCTTGCTGGAAAGGCAGGTGGATTCTGCTGGGGCAGCCAGGCCTGGGTTGCCCTCAGCCTCCTGGCTCTACTCACTGGCTAATTGCTTTGCCTGAGGTTCGCAAGCTTTGTCTTGTTGACAGAGGTTGGCACAGGAGTGCTAGAAAAATATATTTGTGCTGTGGTGAGCTTGGTGAGACTCCCTCCTGGAAACACAAGCTACTTCTCTTGATAGCTGCAGACATATAGGCCAGGGAAGCAGACAAGCAAGCCCACAGGGGTTGGGATGTGGTAGGAGGACACAAAGAGGTTACAATCCAGTAGAGGAGGCAACACACAATAATGTGGGACCAGAAGGGCCTTGATTAGACTCATTTCTAAGACTGCCACTAGTTCTAAGATCCCAGGAGTCAGGAGACCTGTGTTCTGAGCTCCTGTGCAGCTCTGCCACTGACCAACTGTATGACCTTGATGACATTACTTCACCTCATTTTGGTGCCTCATTTTCCTCATCTGTAAAATGAGGTGTGGTAGAGAACGTGGGGAGTCCCTGCGTGTTGCAAATGATTCAGTTGCTGACTGAAAGGTTAGAAGTGGGAGTCTACCCAGAGGTGCCTGGGAAGAAAGGCCTGGCAACTTACTTCCCAAAGATCACAACCATTGAAAACCCTACTGTGAAAAGTTCTACTCTGACATGCATGGGGTTGCTGTGAGTCAGAATCAATAAGATGGGAACTTTTTAATTGTTTTGTTTTGTTTTTTAAAGAAAATATGTAGAATGTAAGTGTTCTGGTTACCTAGTGCCACTCTGATAGGAATATATACCACTAATGGGATAGCTTGAACACACAGGAGCTTATTCTCTAACAATTTGGGAGGCTAGAAGTCCAAGTTCAAAGTGCCAGGCTCTAGGGGTGGTGTGAAAACCCCTTGACCTTGGGCTTCAGCTCTGCCTCTTGCTTCCCACTGAAGCTAGAGGCATCTCTTCACTCAGCCAGCTACTGGCTGCTGAGGCTAACAAGCCCAAGGTTGACAACTATAATGGCACAGTCCTGGTGTTACTAAACCACATGGCAGGCCATTACTTCAAGGCCATTGCAAGTCCCAGGGTCGGAAGAGCATGGCAGGCTGCTGAACAAGGATACGGCTACACACAGGGTCCAAGCATGTCATAAGCTAGAGACTGTTCCCCAAGGCTTCTCCTTATATACAGGAAGCAGACCACATCCCTAAGGCAGCAACTCAGCTGCTCACAGTAGATTCCACCATGAAGTTGATTACCGGTCTCATCATGGAGAATACTATATCCAGCTGCCCACCCACTCAACCAGGCCCAGGCAAGTTGACACATAAACTTAACCACCAGAGTAAGTTGGGTGTTTATGATCTTTAAGTTCAGCTGTAGCATCCAATGATCACATTAAGGTGACCACAACTGATGACCCAACTGGTCATAGCCACCTGTCACCATGAAGTACATTGTAGAGATGGTATGAGTTAGAGCTGGGCTGGTGGACTGCAGGAAAGGTGGCATTAACTTTTCCAGAGAAGATAGGTCCATGCTGTCTCTTAAAGCAGAAGGGATGTTGGAGTGGGGAGTGTTAGCATTTTGGTATGAAGAAAAACCCTACAAGGTCTTTCCAGTGATTTCTCTGTAGAGCTGAGAAGTGAGATAGAAATTGGTCTGGTGGCCAAGGAAAGGCAGAGTACATTCTGTCAGAAAAAGTTTGTGGAAGAAACACCTTGGGTTCTGACCTGTGATTTGCAGTAGAGAGGTTGGGAAATAATGCAAAGCAGTAGAAAGGGCACTGAACTTTGATTTCTGGACTCTAGGGAGCTTTAGCCTCTTTCTTAGTTCTCTAGTGCTGCCAGAATAGAAATACTACAAGTGGATGACTTTAACAAAAATAAATGTATTCTCTCACAGTCTAGGAGACAAAGTCTGAATCCACCTCTAGGGGAATTCTTTTTCTCTGTCAGCTCTGGGGGCTGGTCCTTGTTTTCTTTCAACATCTGTGGGCCAAGTGTTCCTTGGAGATCTCCATGTGTCTTGGCATCAATCTTCCCCTGGGTCTAGCAGGTTCTCAGTGCAGGGACCCTGGGCCCAAAGGGTGCACTCTGCTCCATGTTCTTCTTTCTAATTGGTAGTAGGTCCTTCTTTCTCTGCTTACTTCTCTCTTTTATCTCTTGTAAGATGAAAGGTGATGCAGGCCATACCCCAAGTAAACTCCCTTTACATTAGATCAGGGCTGTGACCTGAGTCAGAGTGTTATATCCCACCTTAATCCCCTTATAACTGACTGGCTGATCACATGAGATCACATCATGAGGGATGATTACATCATTACAGAACCTCTAAATTACATCATTATATAACTGCCAAACCACTGAGAATCATGGCTTAACCAAATTGACACATATGTTTTGGGTACACAATGCAATTCATGCCAGCCTCTAATAATCAATTAGAGTCTAATTGAATGCAGACTTCAATTTTAAATTTTCTCATTTACAAGATGAGAGGATGTGAAAGGACCATTTCCATGGTTCCTTCCAGCTCCAATATTTTACAAAAACCATCATTTGACATTTCTAGGACAACCACAGGATTCAAGCACCTGCTATTGATGGGTTCTATGGGGTGGGCAGGGCAAGGGAAATAGAGATTGGGTTTGAACTCTGACTCCATTGGCTTACTTATGTCTGAGATGGGGAAGGGTACCTTTTTTTACATCCCATAGGTCCCATGAAGAAGATTCTTTATGGAGGAGATTCATTGGAGAAAAAGCTCCACAGTCAATTCTCTGTCACTGAGGAAAGAGACATCACTTTGATAAGCCATGTTCAAGAATGACTGGTTGTTTATACACTGAAGTTTTGCAAACAATACACTTTCCCTAATTTTTTTAATAACTAAGCCTATTTTGCTTGCAAAAGGGAGAAGAGTATAGGTGAAAGTCCTCGGTATATTAGAATGGAACACAATTCCTTCTCCCCACTCTTGTTCAAGTGCTACGTGGGATTTAGGCAAGAGGGTATTCTCAAAATGGACACTCTGGGCCATGATAGATCTGCTGAAGTTGGTGGTCTATGAGCATCACACTGACCTAGACTGGCATAATGGCAATAAGACCAGACAAGTACACAGATAAATAAGGGACAGTCATAGACCCATGGAATATTAGCGTTTACAGGGAGCGTCAACTGTGCAGACATTTAAGGATGATTGCTATATGCCTAAGGAGTCTCTAAGTAGTGGAAATGGTTAAGCACTTGACAGGTAACTTAAAGATTGGTGTTTCAAACCCATCCAGAAGCACCTTGAAGAAAGGCCTGGTGACATGTTTCCAAAAGGATGTTTCAAGATCTGTCCTGAAATACAATGCTGTCAGTGATAGGATAATATCCATATGCCTACAAGGAAGACCCGTTAATATGACTGTTATTCAAATTTATGCCCCAACCACCAAAGCCAAAGATGGGGAAATTGAAGAATTTTATCAGCTTCTACAGTCTGAAATTGACCAAACATGCAATCAGGATGTGTTAATTATCACTGGTGACTGGAATGCAAAAGTTGGAAACAAAGAAGAATCACCGGTAGTTGAAAAATTTGGCCTTGGTGACAGAAATAATGCTGGAACTCACATGGTAGAATTTGTAAGACCAACGACTTGTTCATTGCAAACACCTTTTTTCAACAACACAAATGGAGGCTGTACATGTTGACTTCACCAGATGGAACACACAGGAATCAGATTGACTACATCTGTGGCAAGAGGCGGTGGAAAAGTTCAATATCTTCAGCCAAAACCAGGCCAGGAGCTGATTGTGGAACAGACCATCAACTGCTCCTATGCAAATTCAACTTGAAGTTAAAGACAATTAAAACAAGTCCAAGAGAGCCAAAGTATGATCTTGAATATATCCCTCCTGAATTTAGAGATCATCTAAAGAATAGATTTGATGCATTGAACACCAACAACCAAAAGCCAGATGAATTATGGAAAGATATCAAGAACATTATCCATGAAGAAAGCAAGAGATCACTAAAAAGACAAGAAAAGAAGAGAAGACCAAAGTGGATGACAGAAGAGACTCTGAACCTTGCCCTTGAATGGAGAATAGCTAAAGCAAATGGAAGAAATGAAAAGGTCCAAAAGGACACAGCCTTGAAAACCCTATTGAGCACATTTCTACTCTGCACACATGCAGTCACCATGAATCAGAATCAACTGGACAGCAACTGGTTTGGTTTTGGGTTGCAGTGGGCCTGGCAGGGGTGCAAAGGTGGACCAGGCTGCTTCCAGTTATTAAGAAGCTTCCAGACCAATGTGGATTGCCTATGTAAACAACTAACCATACTATAGGGTGGAATCATACACACACTCTTCTCTGATGAAGGACTGTGCTAACTCAATACTTCCATTTTACAGAAGAGGGAAGAAAGGTCCCAAGTCACACTGTTGTATTATAGTAAATCACATTATGCATAAGATGAGAGTCAAGTACATTCATGGTCTGAAGAAGGAGTGGGAGGCCAGGGTTAGTGAGACCCCTTTGATGACGGAGGTCAATGTTAAAGAACAGTCGAATCCCTGTTAAGAGACAGTGCTAAGACTGCTGCCCTTGGTAAGGATGGTGTTTAGCCAGAGCCCCATTCTGGGGCTGGACTTCTTGGGCCCCTAGTAGCCATGGCACGGTGATTCTTATCTCTTTAAAGGAAGCATCTTTCAGGTGGGACACCTGCTCAATGACACGTGTATCAGAGCAAGGCACATAGCATGGCAGGGAAACTAATTTGAGCTGCTGCTCCTGCATGTTTCTCACAGTGTGTTGAACGGCATTCCTGATTTGGGAGCTTTGATTTTTTTCCCCTACCTAAATTGGTAATGTTTCCATAATTGGCCTCCTGGGAAGGGTCAATTAGTCTGGTTTTTCTCTTTTTCAGAGCCTTCCATCTCAGGGTACAAGTTGGAAATGTAAACGGAGCCTGGTTTCATAGACAGGGGAGGCACACAGCATGAGCTGCTCAGGGCAATACTTTTGAGGAACAAAGGTCTCCACATCCTTGCCCCTGCTCAGCCTGTGCTTGAGCCATGACACATGCAGGGGCTCACTCCATTCTGAATGCTTTTCTGGGAAGGTGAGCCCACCTCCCCACAGTCATTGCTTCCTGCCCCACCTTGCCCACTGCCTGGAGCTCACTGCCAGCTCCCAGCTGGTTCTCTCAGGCCAACAAGGCCAGGATTTCCTGGGCTAAATTCATAGGCTCTGCCTTCTGCCCATCAGGAGCCTGATCTTTCTCCTTGGGATGCTCTCTGTCTTTGGGTGGAGTGGGACAGAAGGGATAGAATGGAGGCAAAGGCTCAGCAGTAAGGATGGGACAGGCTGTGGGAAAAGACTCATGTGTAGGAGGGAAATTGGAAGAAAGGCAGTTTAGGATGAGAGAGAATGGAGTCTCCTCAGGCAGGGCTCTGGGGCAGGGCAGTTTGTCCTACAGAGCCAGCTTATCCAACAGAGCCAATCGAGTGTGGTCTGGACAGAGACCAGGCTGGGAGCAGTGTTAGGCTGAACAACAAGTTACCTGCAGAATTGATTCTGAGTCATGGTGACCCAACGTGTGTTAGAGTAGAACTGAGCTCCGTGGGTTTTTCTATGACTGAGTTTCTAGAAGTAGATCACCAGGACTTTCTTCCAAGGTGTTTCTGGGCAGACTTGAACTTTCAACTCTTTGGTTACCAGCCAAGTATGTGAACAATTTATACCACCCAAGGGCTCCTAGTCTCAGGTTACCCAAATCCTTCATGTTTCAAACTGAAGTCCAATTAGGGAGCAAAGCTGCTGGTACAGAGCGGGATGAGGCTCTAGGACTTTTGGCATCCCTCCCTGTGCTCTGTCCACTGACCTTCTGCAGAGGAGCTGGTGGGTTTAAAATGTCAACCTTCTGGTTAGCAGTCCAATGCCATAGGCACTGCATCACGAGAGCTCCTTTAAATGGTACATAGTAGGCACTTAATGGATTTATTCTTTGCATGAGTAACTCAACTTGATAGAAGCTAAACAGTCATATACTATTTTCTTCCTGGGTCTTGCCATACATTCCAATGCTTCTTGCAACTTTGGGTTAAGGGATTAAAGGTCTGTATTACAGTAAAATATTATCCAAAAGTGGGAACACATTAAGCTGTTTAGATTTCTTTCCCCCATACACCCAAGTCCATACATACACATAAAGGAGGGGTCAGGACAAGGAAGAAGTTGGTCAATTGTGGGGGTGGGAAGATGTGGTGGCAGGGTACAGGTCTCAGTATGAATCGGTGTTATGGATTGAATTGTGTACTCCAAAAGATATCTTGAAGTCCTAAACCCTATACCTATGAACAGGACCCTATTAGAAAATAGGGTTTTTCTTTTATTATGTTAATGAGGTCATGCCAAGGTAGGGTGGGTCCTAAACCTAATCCATTCTGAGTGCTGTCTTACCAAAAAAGAAAAATAGACATGGAGAGTCATGCACACACATACCTACACATACACACAAACGCATCCACCCATAGGACTACTCCGTGGGAGGATCACCTGTAAGCCAAAGAAGGCCAAGAAACACCAGGGCTACAGAAGTAGAAAGAGATAAGAATGTTTCCCTAGGGCCAACAGAGATGGAGAGCCTTGTCCTGCTTGTTGTGTTGTTAGTTGTCATGGGGTTGATTCCAACCCTGAATTCAGACTCTTAGTCTCTCAACCTCTGAGACAATGAATTCCTAGTCTTTAAAGTCACATACTTGTGGTATTTTTGTATGACAGAACTAGGTAACTAGGAAAACAGGGGTCCTGGTCAGCCATAGAGGAACACGAAGATTCAGGGCCCTGCTGAAAGTGGGGAAGGAGTGACAAATGGGAGACAGGTACTCAGAGAGAGGCTAAATGGGCTAGAAGCCCAGTGTTGCCACCTTCAGTTCCATTCAGGGCTGGACTTATGAAGTGTTCAGTGGTTCTGTCACATGGGGAATGAGCTTAGCTACTAGTATGACAAAGGGACTTTACCTTGCCTCTACCAGCCTCACTGTTGAACAAAGCAGAGGCTAGTGCCCCTGCCCACCAGTCCCCATCACCCCTCTGGGCTCCAAATCCCTCCCTTCTCACCACAGCCCCCTTCCCAATGGGTATGGGGCCTCTTAGGGATGAGAACTCACCCACAGTGGCTGTCATGCCTGGAGAGAACCGGTCCTCACAGAACTGCCTCAGGAACGACGTCTTCCCCACACTGGAATTGCCCACAAACACAATCTTGAAGAGCCGGTCTGGGGCAGAAGAAGAGGTTTCCTCCTGTGGACGGCAGAGAGTCAGCCAACGGCGAAGAGGGCTTACCAGCCCTTTTCTTGTTAGGTTTCCTCACCAGGCCTTACAAAAATCTACAAGAGGTAAGGGGTCCAGTCTCCAGACCAGCACCAGGGAGGTCACTCCAGCCTCGGAAAGCAGGTAACTTTGGGTTTGGAGCCTGGCATCTCCTTCTAGCATCAGTAGGTGAGAGGAAGGAACATCCATTCAACCTACATTTACAGCCCGCCTACTGTACTGCAGGCCCTGGGCTGAGCCTGGAGCCACAGAGGAGGAGGAGGCAGACCCTGGTTTATGGTGGAGTGGAGGAGGCAGGCATGTAAACAAGGACTACAGCACAGTGTTTCAGGGGGTCTGGAAGCAAAGAGGAGTCAAGGATCCTAGAGGAGGTAGTTTTGATCTAGGCTTAAAGAAGAGGCAGGAATTTTCTTTAGGAGTGGTAAGAAGGACAAGTTGAGGTATTTGCAGAAAGAAGGGGAGAGACAAAAAGGAAGACTAATCTATATCATGAGGTAAGGGGCAGAGACAACCAGGTTGGGGCAAAAAAGAAAGAAAGAAAGAAAAAACCATACTCACTGTCACTGAGTTGATTCCAACTCATAGTGACCCACTTTGGGTTTCCCAGGTGGTAAATCTTTATGGAAGTAGATTACCCAGTTTTCCTTCTGTGGAGTGGCTGGAGGGTTTGAACCACCAACCTTCTGGTTCATAGTCAAATGCATTAGGCACTATGCCACCAGAGCTACTTAGGTTGGGGCAGGGAGCCTCTTATTCTTGCCCCATTAGTCCAGGCCTGGGTTGAATGGAGGATGTCTTGCCTTTCTGGGTACTGCTCCTGTCTGCATACTGCTTCTATCTCATCTCACCTATTCACACATAGGGACCCCCACTCTCCCTAGGTAACTAAGGCAAGACAGTCTCCACTCTGTCAGTTGGGAAATCCTGTGATGCCAGGCCATTGGGCTGGGGTTTCCAGGATCAGCTGGTCACTCACTGCTGCTCTTTCTACTCTGCCTAGGGCTTAGGGGTGGGGAGTGAACATCTGGGACACTAAGGCCCAGAAAGGGAAGGGAGTGGCTCTCGGACACAACAGCAAGGAAGAGGCAGAGTAAGGGGCTTGCCTTCCACCTCAAGATCCTTTCTGCTTCACTGAGTAGTCATTCCTCCCAGAGAGTTGTTTGCTGCCTGAATCTTGCCTTCAGGCCCAGCCCAGCACTGCCTGGACAAATGAGGAGGCTCTTTCAAATCTACTTGAAAGTGGATTTAGAGGAATTAGCTCCTCTCATTGAGCAAATACTATAATGGAGTGGTGGCCGATATTAGCGTACTTGAGATTCTGAGAAAAGCCATTAACAGCCTTGTCAGGAGAAATCAATTCCATGCAGCACTTAAGAGGGAACTCAAGGTCAACTATAGGAATTTAAAGTAAACTTCAACAACAACAACAACAACAACAAATACACACTCAGAAACCATGCCCTTTGCCCCATTCTCTTTATTTATGCAGTACACAAGGGCACCGACTCTGCCAGTCTCTGGGCCCAGCACCTTTAAATGTCATTTGTGGTGCCTCAATCTATATATCCCCAGACACAGGTGTGGGGTTGCAAATGTGAAACCCAGCATGGGATAGGGTGGCCTTGGCTGTAGAGATGCTGCCTGACCCTCAGACAAGTGATCCCTTAGCTCCAGGGCACTTTTTTTGTAGGCAAAAAGGATCAACACATTGGTGGTTCAGCTTCGATGTAGAATTCAGCACAAAGAAACAGCAAACTCCTGCTCATGCACATGCACTGAACTTGCTGACCTCTCTGAGCACAGTCCACCTGCCACACAGCAATGAGACGGCCTGGCGCTGGAGAAAGCTCTTGGCTGGCAAGCCAGGAGATAGAGTCTTCACTCTCCCTCCCTCCATTCTCTTTCTTTCAAATAAGTTTTTAAATATATAAAAGTAATATGTGCTAATTTTTAAAATTAGGAAATAAAATATAGAGAAAAATAATAATTATGTATAATCTACCCTATCACTTGGAAATGGACACTATTCATATTTTGATATATTTTCTTCCAGTCTTTTTTCTATATAGATAACTGAAGATATACATATATATATACACACACAATGTGTGTGTGTGTGTGTATATATATGTATATGTATATCTATATATATATGTATATCTATATCTATCTATATATATATATAAGAAGGAAGCAATCTACTTTCATAGTAATATCGCCTTGGAAACCCAAGGAGGGGTTGCTATGAGTCAGAGCTGACTCCAAGGGAGTGGTTGCATTGTTTACTGCAACACTGAGGGTATATATGTATACACACACACACATATAGCTTGGAGAGATATTTGATATTATATATAATTTTATCCTGCTTTTAGTAATGATTTATTACTAAATCATCTGAATAATGACTATTTATTGAATAGTTCTCTGAGTCATTAAATTATTTTGAAAATGTGATTTTTAACAGCTGTATAATATTCCATTTTCAATTTATGTACCATAACTTAATTTCCTTCCTGCTGGACATTTTTTTTCCAACAAACTCTTTACTATTACAAATAAATTTGTGAACTAAATCTTTGTCTGATTTTGGTTATTTCCTTAGGGAGGACTGCTCAAAGTAGCAGTGTTGCTTAAAAAGGATGTATTCTTAAATATTTATTCATATTATCAAACTACTACCAATTTATGTCCCACCAGCCTTGTATGGGAGGCCTGCTTCATTGACCCCTGAGAGCAGACCCTCTTTGGAGGGTGTTATATGGTTTCCAGGAAAGCATATTTCCTCTCTGCTGCAGCTTCTATTCCCAGAAAAAAATGGCAGCACAATGTGGCAGAAATAGTGCAGATGTGAGAGGGCATGGTGAGAAGGGCCAGGTGCTATGTCATTGTGCACCCTGGGCAAGGTCTCTTCCCTCTGGGCCTCTACTTTCCCATCTGTCAAAGGGGAAAATGAATTTCTGACATGCCTCATCAGTCAACGGTGAGGATAACATGGTAGAAATGGATGCTTATACTTTTTTCTTTCCCCTGTCTCCAACTGTAGGGCATTTTGTGTGTGTGTGTGTGTTTATACATATATACCCTCAGCTATAACACGCAAGTTTAGGCCTGTGTGCTGAAGGGAATGTGAAAGGAGCACGTAGGAGGGAGGGGTCTTTGTCACCTGGTTCTCCACTCTCCCTTTGACTAAGGAGCTCTGGTGGCGTAGTGGATAAGGCATTTGGCTGCTAACCAGAATGTCAGCGGTTCAAACCCACCAGCTGCTCTGCAGAAGGAAGGTGGGGAGATCTCTTCAAAGGAATGGTGTGTGGAATAAGAGTCTTAATCCAAGCCCAGGAATGATAACTGATGCCAAGAAGTAGAGGCCAGGCAAGGCTTTCTAGCACACATGCTACTACAGCCATTTTTTGTTGTTATTGTTATGCGCCGTGGAGTCAGACCTTACTCTTAGGGACCCCTTCCTCCTTGAGTTCCTGAGGCATATCACTATGGAAGTAGATTGCCCAAGCTTCCTTCTGAGGAGTGGCTGGTGGATTTGAACCACCAGCCTTCTAGTTAGCAGTCAAGTGCCTTAGGCACTACACTGCCAGAGCTCCTAATACAGCCATTTGGAAACATTCAAATTGGAAATGGCTCAATTCTAAAAGGCTGCCACAGTATGCAGGGAGCCTCTTTCATATTGCTATGGGCATTTTCCAAGCTGTTTTAGAAGGTCAAGTGGATAATGGAGGGCTTGAGGAGACAATTCCAAGGCCTGGGTCATAAACTAGGGAGGAATATCATTACCAGAAACCAAAGCAAAGTCATTCAAGTGGTCTTCTTTCTCCCTGAAGAACTTAGCAAGAAGACCTGGTGCAGGAAGGTGGGGAGCACCAAAGGGAGGAGTAGGCGGGGCCATGTGGAAAAGAAAGTGTGATCTTTTGAATTAGCTGATTAAGAAAGAACTAAGAAAACATTTCAAATATGCAAAATATGCAAAATTTCTAAAGCAAGGATTGGCCTTATTGAGAGTTAACTAATGGAAGAAAACGTGCAATTTTATAAGCTTGTGATATTTTATGCTAAGAGCCTAGTAGGGTGGCTAGCATAAGTAGATGCTTAATATATGCTTTTGAATATGAATCAGAACTAGAGCATAAAGGAGGGAATGGGCCCAACAACTGAGATGTAAAGAGGAGCCCATGGCACTCAGCTAAGCAGTGGAAGATGGTATTTGAAGGACATGAATATGGTGATCACAAGACCAGCTACATATGACTTCCTGAGCTGCCTCTTGGGGATTTGTGGTTCAAATGCAAGAAATAGGTCATAAAGGTGATGTCTATTACCTCAGACAGGGCTTCTTTTCCAACAGGCTGCCCTCGCGGAGATGTGGGGGTGAGCTCCAAGTGTGGGGCTTGCTGACTTTGTCCTTTCCCCCCTTGGTTAGAGACCTTCTCCTCTTCTGGGCACCTGCTCAGCGGCTGCTCAAAGCTTCCATCCAGGAGCTGGGGCAGGGGGTCTTCTTCAATAGAGATGATTCTGCGGAGCAATCGTGGGGAGGGACCCCCAGTCCCTGGCTCCCCAGTGCCTGGCTCTCCTTCTGTGAGTGGATATCCACTCAGGCCAAGGGAGTTCCTCCTTCTTGGGATGCCAAACACATCTTCCTCCTCCTCTGACAGGCTATTTTGGGGTGAAGAAGAAAGAGGTGAGGCTTATCATAAACTATACCAATATGGAAGCTGACGGGCTCCATGATAGCTTTTATGACAAACAGTAAACTGAGAGAAGAGAACTCCAGGAATGGGAAAAACAAAACAAAATAGAAATAGGCATTCTTTAACTCATTCATTCAACACACTTTGATTAAGTGTCTGATGACAATGAACATGGTGATGATGATTACTACCAAGTATTACACTACAGACACAGGCATGAAGACATAGTCTCTGTCCTGATAGAAAGTTTGGGGTATACGGGACTAAAGCAATAATGACATAATATAATACATTTTTCTAAGCTGTGAGAAGTGCTAAGAAGGAGAAGTAAATGGTATGAAGAAGGGAGTATAACAGAACCAGATATAATGCACCCTGGATTAACAATCAAGTGGCCTTGGCTCTAGTCCCAACACCAGCACTTACTAGCTGTATATCCTTAAGTATGTCATTTCACTTCTGCAAGCCTCAGTTTCCTCACCCATAAAATATGGACCATCTGCTTGACTTTAAGGATCTCTGGTGTCACAGTGATTACAGCACTCAGCTGCCAAACAAAAGATTGATGATTCAGACTTAGCAGATGCTTCATGGGAAAAAGATGTGGCAGTCTGCTTCCATAAAGATTACAGCCTTGGAAACCCTACAGGGTAGTTCTACTCTGCCCTACAGGGTTGCTTTGAGTTAAGGGCAATGCATTTGGTTTGGTTACCAAACCAAAAACCAAACTCACTGCCATCGAGTGTCCCCCGTTGGGTTTCTGAGGTGGTAAATCTTTATGGAAGTACATTGCCCAGTCTTCCTTCAGTAGGTTTGAACCACCAACCTTCTGGTTAGCAGTTAAATGCCTTAGGCACTATGCCACCAGAGTTGGCCCTGCCTATCACACACATAAGACAATGTATAAGAAACAATGAAGATGGGTTTCTGGAACAGCCCTCAGAAAGGTAGATGAGATTCTACCCCCAACCAGGCAGATATCCGTCCACTGGCTCAGAGGCAGTTGCCAACTGAGTTGGGCTTCTCTTTCAGTGTCCCTAAAAGTTAGAGTCAGGAGTAAGTGGTCACAGAGGCCTATGTGAATAACTGTTTCCAGAAGTATCTGAGTATCAAGGGCAAGGAGAAGCAGTAGGAGGTGAAGGGAATTGGGCAACTTGAGGTAACACTCAGGCTCAAGTTGTATTTCTAAACGTTTTGAGAGCAAAGACCTCACAGGTCCTTCCTAGTTTAGCACTCAGCTGCTAACTGAAAGGTCAGCAGTTTGAACCCACCAGCCACTCCATTGGAGAAAAATGATGACAGTCTGCTTTTGTAAAGATTATAGCCTTGGAAACCCTATGGAGCAGTTCTACTCTGTACTATAGGGTCACTGTGAGTTGGAATTGACTTAATGGCAATGAGCTTTTGGTTTAGTATTTTAAAGAGGATAGAAACTTGAGATGGAGGACATCCAGTCCAAATTGGAAAAACAAAAACCAACCAATAAACAACAACAGTGCCATAAGGATTAGGGGAAAAAAGTCAACAGGATAGGGATGAGTACAGAGGTGATAGGGCCAAAGGACAGAGAAAGCAGAATATGAAGAACAGAGATGTGTCCTTTATTTCGCCCCCTGGCTTATAACATTTATCACTGCTAAAGACCAACAAGGGAGCTCTGGTAGCATAGTGGCTAAGGCACTTGACTGCTAACCAGAAGGCTAGCAGTTCAAACCCACCAGCCATTCCTCAGAAGGAAGATGGCGCAATCTATTTCCATAGTGATACTGCCTTGGAAACCCAAGGAGGGGTCACTATGAGTCGGGTCTGACTCGACGGCACACAACAACAACAACAACAACAAAGACCAACAAAGAAGCCCTGGTGGTGCAATAGTTAAGGAAGGCTCAGCTACTAACTGAAAGGTTGGTGGTTTGAACCTATCCAGCTGCTCCATGGGAGAAAGACCTGGTGATCTGATTCTGCACAGATTGCAACTAAAAACTGGGGCAGTTCTACTCTGTTATATGAGGTCATTATGAGTTGGAATCAACTCAATGGCACCCAACAACAAGAAGAATCAACAGCAGGAAGGAAAAAAAGAAAACGTATGCATCACAGTTCTGAAGTTAATTGCAACTTTAAAAGAGAAATGACAATATAAAGCTTGCTCACAAAAAAATGGTGAAATTAGTATGAGCCCCCTGATATAAAAGAAGGATTTAGAGTGATTCAAGCACATTCACATGTACCTATCGGAAGGAAGGTTGGGCATTCCTACTTCCGTAGTGATACTGCCTCGGAAACCCAAGGAGGGGTCGCTATGAGTCAGGGCCGACTCGATGGCAAATAACAACAACAACAACATAGACTCATAGTTTTTGATAAAAGCTGATTGTCTTATTTCTAACAAATTTCCTATATGTACTAATAAACCCGTTAGCTGCTTATCTCCTTTAGAACTGGTTTTCCATCTACTTTCATGCTGCTCTCACACAGAAGAGGGCATGTTTGCAGGTGGTCATGTGCACACGCACATATGTAGCATATTTTTTCAAAGTTCTTGCAATCAGAAAGAAATGTCCACTTCAATGGACATTAAAAAGAAGCATTTCTTAGAAAAAGCTTTTCATTTGGGAAATTCTCAGGTGCTACTCACATCTGTGATACCTTCATCTCAGCATGACTAACTTCATTTCTTGGTTTTGCCACAAAATGCAATCTGCCAGCAATAGAGCGAGCAGCCACCTCTGCCAAACTCTATATTAGAATTCAGGATTCATGGTACACTGCTAATTTAATTGCTATCTGTTTCCTCCACTCAACTAATAAGCTCCCTGAGGGCAAGAATGCAGTCTATTTTGCTCACCACTGAATACTCAGCACAGAGCACCGGACCTCACACATAGTAGGCACTCAACAAATATTTATTGAGTGACCATTTGTTAATGGATATTGATGGCCAGACTATGTCTAATTCATCTTTAGAGACTTCAAAATATTCAAAAGAATGTCTGTTTCACAGTAGGTAATCAATAAATACCTGTTGAATTAATGAATTAGTGAATCAATCAAAGTACTCAGTTCTAAGGAACCAACAGGTCACCTAGCATTGCAAAATTTGGCTCACTTGACAAATTGTGAGATACAAATTGTAGTTCACTGTTCAACTCTTTAGAAAAGGAATCCATGATACTCTGTCCCAAAGACTTGATTGATGAACTGATTGACATGCCCAGGCTCCTCTCCACTTCTCTTGTCATATCTGTTTATTTCATGCTTGCAGTCCTCAGGGTCTCCTTGGTGAACAAGTTTACATTCTTTCTCCGCAAGCTAATACTCTGGGGTTTGGCTGGCTGCTTTATCTCTTTGTACCCATCTCTGTGGATGGAGCACATGCCAAAAGGAAGAAGGGACAAGGGACAGGCTTATCTTCTGGAATGAACAATGAGCCCTCTGGGGACTCAAACTCAATCATGGTTTGTCCAAGAGCAGCAAAACATGTTATCTTTGAGTTAATTAAATATGAATCATGAAATGATATTTTAAGCATAGGCCCCATTCTTATTTGTAAAAGGAGTTCAACTATTGGAGATTCCATATGACACTGTAATTAATCTTCATAGCCAATACAGTCATGTCCTTCACAATGTAACAGACAGCATTCTGTTCTGCTCAACAGACAACAGAGCATTGTCCAGCCACAACTCCACCTTCCTCTCTCTCCATTGACCCGCTCCTCCTCTTTCTCTTCCCTTACTGATCTACAAAATCTCTTCAGCCCCTCTCTGCAGGCACAATTTAGGGTGAGGTGGCTGATATAAGACAATATACAAGACAATGGCTGTCTTAGGAGGCTGCTCTGCATATGTCCCCTCCCATCTGAATGTGAGAACAGAAGGACATGCCCTTCAAGATTCAAGGGGAAAGAGTTCACTAACCGCAGGTTTCCCTCCTAGGGACCAGATCTCTAGGTGGCAACGATGTGCATTCAGTGTAGGCCCAGTGCAGGCTCACAGTGAATGTGAGAGGAATGAACAGATGAGCAAAGGGATGACTTACCTTCTAAGAATCCCTCTGCTGTCCACATATTTGCCTATCACAGAGCCAGATCTCTGTTTCCAGCTTGCATTGGAAGCAGCTGTGTTTGCCTTGGCTGCCTTATCTTTCTGTAGAAACATAAAATACCCTCAGATCCATGACTACTGATTTGCCCCCAGTGTTTGAGCAGAAAAGGATTCAACTTTCCCACCTCATAAAACAGGCTCTAAACTAAACTCTGGCATAGGCAAGCAGTGTTCTAGTCTATCTGCTAATGTTCCCCACTCTTTCCTTTTGCCATCAGCCCCCACCAGAATTCCTCCATCTCCTCTTGAATAATCTAATCAAATGAATGCAGGCATCATTTAGTGCCTGGGGTCCACTACATTATTCTTCACAAGAATACTGATAATTTGCAAGAAAGCAAATGTGAGATAGATATACGCTTAATGCAAAGGAAAATATTTAAGGGTATAAAGCCTTCTGTGTATCTTTAAATCACATTCCTCTGCTCTTTATTTCAAGAGCCCCAGATATAATGAGAAGGGGTCCATCCTAAATGATCAATTAACCCAGTGTCCTGTCCACAGCTACTAAGCTAGCTGAAGGTATTTTGGATCTTTTGCGGAAGGAATCTGAGTGTAGATTGATTGCTCAAACATCTGTATCAGAGGACCTGGGTGGAGTGGGGGCTTACAACCCCTTTGCCAGTGCTCCCTGACAGATGTCTTCCAGGAGTTGAGGAGGAGTGAGATCACAGGAAGGATCTCATTAATCAGCTGTCTCCACCATTCCCAGTGATCCTTAATGAGAGAAGGAGGAGTTGCTGAGCTCCTGGGCCCCTGAAGGTATGGCTATAATGATTCCAAATTAATATTTAATTATAATTCAGCATGAACATGACTTTCTCTCTCTTTCTTCTGCTCCCCAGTAGGGTTCTTAATTCCAATTCCCTTTCAAAGCAAAATGAGATTGGCAGGTGAAGGGAAGGGAGGTCAAGGGATTAGGGTGACATTTGGTTGGAAGTTTTAAAATAAATTCAGTGTTACTTCTAAAACAATTATAACCATTATCATCATCAAACAAACATGTGTAGGCTTAAGCTTTGCTCTAATAGGGCATATAGGTGGGCGGCAGAAACATTTGCTGCAAGTTGGGGATATAAAGCAAATAGTGTAACAAGGCCCTTGGAGATTTGCAGTTATAAACCAGACTGGACTTAATTTCGGTAAACTAACTGCTTTATGCTGAACATGTTTAGGTCACTGTTCAGCTAAGGATTTAGTGTTCATTACCCTCCTCTTTCCAAGAGTTTTCTCAAAAATTTCTCTACTTTAATAAAAAGGGAAGTTACTCCCTTCCCTTATAGGATAGTTGGGGGCCATTGTTCAAGGAGCTTAATGACTTTCCCAATGACATACATAAAATTCATGGTGTGAAGATTCTGATAAGTAGGAAGTTGCATCAATCAATCCTGCCCTCCATCTTTCTTCCTTTGTTTCATTCTGTTATACATAGCGTCACTATGAGTTAGAGCCAGCTTGATGGCACCTAACAACAACAACAACAATAAGAGTATCCACCACCTACTGTTGAAAGGAGGAGATGTGTGAGGGAACATGGAACCAAAATTTAGGTAATGCATCCCAAGGTGAAGATCTTTAAATCAGTATAGGATTTTGTGCTATTTGGGAAAGTACATAATCATGATGTTCAGGTATGGATGGGTAGAGATCCCCAGAGGGTGACAAAAATTGTACATAAAATCAACTATGTAAATTATGGAATATACATTTTAATACATTTTATGACAGTGTAAAAAAATGCAAAATTGCATCAAGAGATAAACATTTAAATGAAGAAAAAGAAAAAACAAAACTGAGTATTTTGGTTTGAAAGCAATAATGACATTTCAATTGCGCCATCTCATGGATAGAACTATCATTTCTACATCCAAGAAATGTGTGACCTTCCTAAATATTTTAGTCAAGTTATACTAAGAGGATGGAGCTCTGGTGGTGTAGTGCCTAAGGCATTTGACTACTAACCAGAAAGCTAGTGGTTCAAATCCACCAGCCACTCCTTGGATGGAAGGTTGGGCACTCTACTTCCGTAGTGATACCACCTCGGAAACCCAAGGAGGGGTCGCTATGAGTTGGATCTGACTCCATGGCAGTGAGTTTGGTTTTTGGTTTTATACTAAGAGGAAAGTATGTTGCTTCATGAAAATCAATGCACTGTTGTCACCTTGTATTATCATTATTTTAAAAAACTGTCTGTTGTCCTGCCCACACAGAAAGGATCAATCAGAACCCACATCTCAGGACATCCTTGGGTCAGTCCCAGCATGGACTCTCATAGTCCTTGTCTTCCCCTGGGGAAGTAAGCACTGCCAATTACCTGAAAACATATGTCCCGTTCATCCCGGAGGTGCTTGTTCCTTTCCCTGTGGACAATAAAAGGAATCAATTCAAACAGGAAACTTGTTTTTGCAGCTGGCAGTTGACTGATCCAATAACAGCTACTTTGCTGGTCAGATAGGTCCCAGGGAAGGTCTGGTGCAGAAGGCCCAGGAAGTATGTGGAATCTCTTTCTTTGGGGATTGTGATTAATGGCAGAGAATAGTTTTATGTGAATCAGCTGAGAAACAAGGGAATTAGACAAAATGGCTTAGTGATGGCCAAGGTCCTTCAGAATCCTGGAGGGTCTTACACTGACCATTCCTACCAGTAGAGAGCCTCCTCAGCTCCACCTATGAACTTGCTATCTCCCTCTTGAATGACTTACTTCCCCTATCTCTGAACTATTCATTCATGCGTGTATTCACCTAATAAACATCTCCTAAGCAGCATCACAATAAATGGAGAGAAGATTGAGGTTGTCAAGGAATTCATGTTGCTTGGTTCTACAATCGATGCCAATGGAAGCAGCAGTCAGGACATTAGACGACGTGTAGCATTGGG